CTCTCTGAGAAAAGGATGGAAAACTAGCCTGCTTAGATGGGCAATCTGGAATTACTAGTTCAGATCTCCTCATAGAGCAACACTTAGGGGTTTAAGGTTTGATCTGTTCTCTGTTGTCTGTCTGCTCAAAGCTGTCTCGTCCGCCTCGACCAGCAAGGAAGACGCAACACCAGGCTCTTCTCCAAGCAGTTTATTCAGGTACCTTGAAACAATCTTCTGACCCCGGGGAGAGCCAACCCACAACTTAAATAGCCTCGGGGTAGCCTACCCCAGTCTGCCACGTGGGTACCACGGATAGGTCCAGGTACGCAGAAGCAAGCCAGATCCCAGCCTTAGCCAAATAAGGAGTTGTTTTTCAGAGTTGTTTTTCAGAGAGCACTCACTGTCGGGAGGGTGGAAGGCTGAAGCCAGCGCCATCTAGGAGGCGCGGCTGCACGCAGCTCTCTACACAAAGCAATCTATTTTCATCTTCCCAGTAGAATACCTTCATAGCATGCAGAGTGATATCCACAGCACTTCTGAACATTTTCTTCTTTTTTTTTCAAAAAGGAAGGTTTTAACCTTAACATAGTAAAAGGTTGCTCTGTATGCTGTGAATCTGTTGCTCTGATTGGTTGATAAATAAAATGCTGATTGGCCATTAGCCAGGCAGGAAGTATAGTATAGGTGGGATAAAGAGAGAGAATTCTGGGAGGTGGAAGGCTGAGTTAGGAGATGCTGCCAGCCACCACCGCCATGAAAAGCAAGATGTAAGATACTGGTAAGCCACGAGCTATGGTGATATTTTATTTGTACTGAAATGTGATTTTATTTGTATGTTAATAAATAAAGTTGCCTGGGGGTCAGAACTAACAGCAAGCCATCGCAGAAGCTGGGCGGTGGTGGTGCACGCCTTTAATCCCAGAACTTGGTAGGCAGAGCTAGGTAGATCTCTGTGTGTTCAAGGATACATCCAGCATTGGAGACACACGCTTTTAATCTCAATACCAACCATAGAAGACCTGGAGGTCTGTACAGACAGGCAGTGACGAGGCAGTCATGTGGTTGGGTTTACAACCAATGAGAAGGCAGAACAGAAAGTCTTTATAAAGACAGACACACAGGAAGTAGGTCTCTTTTTCAGAGAGGTAGGACCACCATGATAGTGAAGGGTAAGGTTTTTAGCTCTTAGCTATTGCTCTGACCTCTTGGCTTTTATCTCTGTATTGGCTCTGTGTTTTGTTTTTTTTTTGTTTTTTTTTTTTTTTTGGTTTTTCGAGACAGGGTTTCTCTGTGTAGCTTTGCGCCTTTCCTGGAACTCGCTTTGGAGACCAGGCTGGCCTCGAACTCACAGAGATCCGCCTGGCTCTGCCTCCCGAGTGCTGGGATTAAAGGCGTGCGCCACCACCGCCCGGCCTGTGTTTCTTATTTAATAAGACGGTTGGTTACTTCTACAATGAGCTATGTGGCAAGGTATAGATTTATAGAAATGGGTTAATTTAAGATATAAAAACAGATAGCAAGAAGCCTGCCATGGCCATATAGTTTATAAGTAATATAAGTCTCTGCGTGTCTGTGTCTGAGCAGCTGCAAGCCTGGGTGGAACTGGAGATAACTCCAGCTACAGACAGGGGCACTGTAGAGGACGCCTGGGTTTTTGATCAGTTACAGTCGATTTAAGAATGTAAACAGCTGAATTATCTTTTCATAAAGCTGGTGTTTCGTAGATCTCTATTTTAACTACATGTCAATTGTTTTCATTGGTTTCTAGTATTAGCTTAGTGTCAGGTAGATTAAATAAGGCAGGCTCTTAATGTCTTTGTAGTTATCCATGTTTCCTCTTCTCCAAGGTCTCCCATCAAATTTCAAGTCATGATTACATTGAGAGATAGTGTAGACAGCAATCACTTCCATACTGTAGCCCAATTAGAATGCAGTTTCAATGCTAATTTCTCCTACCACTGCATACAAAATGAAGCAGTACTCTACAGTGGAAACTGTGTTTACCTGCGAGTCCAGAAGCTTAAGGTCAGTCCCAGGGAGTCTTGGGAAAGTTGAGATGAGGGAATGGAAAGGGGAAATTGTGGGGGCCCAAATTACTGAAGGTCAGAGAATCTGAGCTTGTTTTACCCAGCAGGGCTTCATATTGGGATATTTGGCCATGGGCGTAGTTACCAGGTGTTTTGAAGGGTCTACACTTGGCTGTATGTTGTGCTTTGATCTTGAAAAGGGGAGGTTTTTTGCCTCTCCCCTTGGCATTGTATAAAAAGCCCTTTGGAATAAACTTTGAGGCAACTAGGTATTGACCTAGGGCCCTCATGAAGCTATCCTGTGTCTCTGTCTTTCTTATCTCTATCATTTCCTCATTAGCTATCCTGTGTCTCTGTCTTTCTTATCATCTCTATCTTTCTAACTATCATTTCCTCATTCCTCTACCCCCCCCCCCCCAAGAACCCTTCGACGGGTTGGGGTTGGATGCGGGCAGACTCCCACAGGAAATTAAACAAGAACTAAGACTGTATGAAGAAGCCATATGGGTACTTATCATCTGGTAAACCAGTTAAATACTTCAAGAGACTGAAGAGAGATACCATGCACAGCTTGATAATGCAAAGCCTAGAAACAATGGGTTACTAAACACAATTCCCAGTGCCAGGTGTGGGATACCTCTGTAGGAATTGACCAGGAAGCTTCTCAAACAATATAGGCTCTTCTCAGTTCTCTTGATTGTTCACCTAGAATTAAGATAAGACTATTGCCTGTGACTTCAAGGCCAGCCTGGTCTACATAGCAAGTTCCAGACCAGCCAGGGCTATACAGTGATACTTTTGTCTCAAAACAATAACAATTCTACTGCTAAGACATCACATACTTTGGTTGCAAGATAGAGAGAAAACAAACTGGAACTGAGCTGGAAACCTCATGGCTAGCTTTCAAAGAGTAGGAATGTGCAAAGCAAGAAGCTGGGAGAAATAGTCTTAATCAGCTGTGATTGATTCCTACCAGCTACAAAAATAATCTTCCAGGCAACATGTGCCACCTGCGCAATAGTGGCATGACTGTTATGGGTGCAATCGACGTCCCAGATTGGATTTGAGGCCTGCTGCATAGGAGTGAAACCCATCGCTAGTCAAAAACTCATGCCTGGGCCGGTCATAGGCCCAAGGTATGTGGGGGCAGGGGAAGATGGGACTAGAACTTAACTACGGTTGACTAAATTGGCATACCACCAAACCACCTTCTAAATGTTTATACCATTGACAAAGACTCTCAACTTTAATCAGAGAATCCTCTTTGCAGTGAAGAGGGCTCAATGCAGACTAACGGCTGTCAAAAATGCTCAGAACAAGTGATGATTGGGCATCTAACCCTAAACATTTATAACCTCCTAAGGCTCAGGGAAGATTGCAGAAGAGGTGGTGGGGATAACATGGGAGCAGGAAGATAGGAAGAAAGGCCGTGAAATGCCATCTTGTAGGCCTGACACAACCGTTGCAATCATGAACTCACAGCAGCAGCTACTACTGACTATGGGCCAAGGCTGGCCCTGTCAATGTGCATGGGGCCCTACTTACAGCTGAACTAGTTGTTACTGATAAGATTTGTTTTCAGTTGTGCACCTACTGCTGAGCCCACCATGCCCCAACACACAGCATGTTTACATGTCACGGACAGCCTTAGTTAAACTCAGTGGAATTCTCAAAGGAATGTGAGAAAGATTGGTAGGAAAGATGGAGCTAGACAGAGAGGGAATCAAAACAGAGTAGATGAGAATAATTAGCATGCATAATATAGTGTTTATGAGAAACTGTCAAGAACTAAAAAGGGTCTTGTGGTGGTCTAAATAGGTATGGCACCCATACTCATGTGTTTGAATGCTTGGCCTATAGGGAGGGGTACTATTAGGAGGTGTTGCCTTGTTGGAGGAAGTGTGCCACTGTGGTGGGGGGTGGGCTTCAAGGTCTCATATGCTCAAGCTATGCCCAGTGTGGTACCGTCTCCTGCTACCTGTGGATCAAGATGTAGAACTCTCAGCTCCTTCTCCAGCACCATGCCTGCCTATATGCCACCATGATAATAGATTAAAACTCTACAACTGTAAGCCAGCCCCCCAACTTAATGTTTTCCTTTATAAGAGTTGCTGTGGTCATGATGTCTCTTTACAGCAATAGAAACCCTAAGACAGGTCTCTTGATTTTAAGCTTCCCCCCTCCTCAAATGAATACACTTGACTTCCAGCTCACTCCTGAAGTGATTGTTGCGATGGATGGGACATATGTAACCTGATATACCCTTGAATGCTTTGGCCATCTGATGCCTACAGAATTAGGTGGATGATGTCCTCCTACCACTAGCTCTGAGGAGTGGAAGTTTTATCCAGGAAAGGTAAGAGACCAGAATGACAAGTTTTTTCTTTCTTTCCATTCCTAGGCCTGTTTTTGTAAGGAGGTTTTTCTAGATAGTAACCAGAGATGCACAGTTTCTCCAGTTCAACAGATGTGAAGCACTGGCTGGTTTGCAAACGTTGTTCTTCCCAGCCACTGTTTACCCAGCTCACAGCCAACCAAAACACTCTTCCACATTCTGGAATTTAGAAACACCAGGTCCTCTTAAGAACAACATTATGAAAGCTGGGCAGCAGTGTTGCACGCCTTTAATCCCAGCACTCAGGAGGCAGAGCCAGGTGGACCTCTGTGAGTTCAAGGCCAGTCTGGTCTACAGAGCGAGATCCAGGACAGGCACCAAAACAACACAGAGAAATCCTGTCCCCCAAAACCAAAAAAACCCCCAAACAAACAAACAAACAAACAAAAAAAGGACATTATGAAATGTGGGACCCTAAAGTTCAGACTGTATCAGTGTTGGATTCTGGAATAAACAAATGGAGACTGACCTTGGTGGCAAGATGGTTAGAGACTGTACCCACAGGCTGGGATGGGAAGAAGCAACTCTCATAGAGGAACAGGCTCTAACTCTATTTTCTCTTGTATCCAGCACACACAATAAATGCTAATACACACTTAATTTTTGGAGTTGTGTATTCAATAAATTCAATGAACAAATAAGCAGTGATACACCAAATACAGGCATTATAACGTTTTCTTTAAAATAAATGTTTGTTTAGAATAAAATGCTGTCACAAAAACCAGAATTGGAGTCTAATAACACAATTTAATAAAATGAGGCACAATGTTTAAGGCAAAATTCATGAAGAAGGTATATAAAGTTAATCTAAGATATTTTTTCATGTCCTTTGGAGGAGGAGGCACAAGAATTTAAATAGTTTAAACATTCTTTTTAGAATATTAGCCATTATAAGGTAACATAAATTTGATACAACAGGACTATCTTTTCCAGAAAACAAACTCCATTATTAATTCATATTTCTGAGTTACATTTTAATTATGTATATACTTATACATGTATTTCTAATACACGAGACTTTAGGTACTGAAAATTAAAGAAGTCAGAATATACATAATAATTTGACCAAAGTAACATCTTTTCAGCATCTTTTGTTGGTATTTGAAGCCCCCAACTTTATGAAAAGCTAAGGATGGTTATGCAGAAAGTCTTTCCCATTATGTTCTGTTTCTAACAAACACCAAGTGGGCTCAAAATGCAACAAACCTCAACATTAAGTCTGCTATGACTGTGAGAAAGTGACTACTGGGTCAACACTGTTTCTCAGGAACACCAGTGCTGAGCACGTGAACTGTGAGAACAGGGCCTCAACCATCCCTGTACACAAAAACTAGTTATGGTTCCAATAACAGCAATGCCAACCTCCTCCTAGTTTCTTTCCCCAGCTTAAGTTTTGAATAATACAACTTTATTCAATGTATTCATGGTCAAAAGAATAAAGTATGTTCTAGTGAATGCAGACAGTTCTCTGCATGTTAATAACCTTCACTAAGCTACTAGATTTTATACATACATGATACACATGAGACTGAATAGTATACCAATGACTGAGGCTGACTGATGCTAAATAAAAGCCTAGCAGCACCCATCAAAACCACCTTCTACGTGTTCAACTTTGAGTTAGTGGAATGCTTCTGAATCCAATCCTTAGTAAATATCGATCAAGAAAAATGTAGTAAGAATGGTGGCACTTTGACATATTAAACTATCCCCACTTCAGCCTATATGAAAACTGGTGATAAAACATGCTAAACCTCAGTGACATTATTTTCCTAAGATGATATAAATATGACAGCAGTGGAACTTCTGCTGTCCTTTGTGGGAGCATATACATTTAAATAAAATACTATATAAAAGGTACACCTTTCTACTGGGGGCAGGGTGGTGGTGGTGGTGCTTGATCCTTGGTTCCAGAGGGCTCTGATCTCCTGGCACAGTATGATTAAGATTTCCTCCCCAGACGCCCTACACACACAGTGGGCCCTATTGTGGGCAAAGGAATCCCTCAGGATCAGTTTTTCTCTTCAAGTCAATGCAGAAGATCACACAGCCATCACCGACAATTTACCATATAATATACGTTCTTTCCCATGGTTTGGGTTAAATGGAAGACTTAAGGCACTTACTTTCAGACCACAAAGGATATTGCTACCCACTATACTACCAAAAAGATCACACTATGATGAAAATATCAAACTGCATGCTACTGAACTAATGTTATATAACATTAAGTGCTTAATATACAGACAGTGAAGGCTAACCAAACACTTTTCTAAGCAACAGAACAGAACTATGTGCTACATGTCACACTGCCTAAAGCCTACACAGTACCCTTCACTGGGGTTACATGCCTAGTCTCACTCAAAAACTCAGTATTTTGGACTAAATGGAGAGCAATAGTTATAATAAAATCTCTACTTTTAGATGAAAGGCAAGTCATTTAGGTAAAAATTAGGCACTTCAAAACTAAATGCAGCTAAATAATTTTACATTTATACTTTTACTAGTAAAGTTGTATCTACAAGCACTTACATGGAAACTCACATGGTTTTTATGTAAATAGCCACTACTAAGTACTTGATTTGCACTAAAAAAAACAAAAAACAACCCCCCCAACACACCCCAAAAAGGTAAACATTCACCAAGGCTACCTGCTGTATTATAAACCAGACCAATGAAGAAATACTTTCCAACTCTGGGAAAAGCAAGGCTGAAAACAAGCCTACAGCTTGCTGGCTCTGCTTTACTGGGAGCAAATGGAACAGCCTCCAGCAGCAGGGACTGATAGAATAATAACAATAACAGTAATAAACTTGGTGATAAGGTTTTTCGATGGCAGCAGAAGGCCACTTTGCAAGTCAATTTTAAAACAATTCCTTATTACTCTAGAGGGCTTTACTGGCTCAGGGATTTCCCTGGTACCTATGACTTCTCTTTCCTATCCTTTGCTGCTTTTCAAGATTTTACATTCTAGCAAAGAGCCTCTTCTTGAGTATTCATCTAAACCCAGTATTTCCAGTGTCTGTTAGAACTGCAGTGGCTGCAGTACCGTGTTGCACTATTGAGGTTGCCTTTTATTTTTATTTGTATCACCCCCAAATATCTCGTATTTGAAGTCAACTTACAATGTATGTTTATTTTTAATATTGGCAACAAAATTTTAACATGGAGATTTTTAGGCCAAGAGGCACCTTTGGCACATTTCCATGTAAAATACTGAGCTGGGATCATGGTTTACACTTGTGATCCCAGCAGCTGGGAAGCTGAGGCAAGAGCATTACAAGCAGGCCAGACTGGGCTACATAGTGAGTTCAAGGCTAGCCTAGGCTACACAGCCAGGCCCTGTCTTAGAAAACAAAACAGCTGTATTATGAAAATTAGTTCTTGCTGATTCTGAAACTCTAAGAGTTCATTAGCTGGATATACACGGAGCTTATAACTAGCGAGACAGACTACCGCTTAAAATACAATCTGCTGACTTCAGAAGATGATCATATTTCTAGATGGCCAATTCCTATCTCACCAAGTGAATGTCTATAATTGGTTTTTTAAAAAAGGAAAAGTATGAAAAAGAAAGAAGAAAAATTTTTAGCAATCACTGGCAGTAAAGGATAAGGCCAAAGATGAGTAAAAAGGGAAAAACAAAAAGGGTCAAACAGCTACAAAAGATTTCATTAAAAGCTATACATGCTATGCTTGGACTGCAGCTTGCTCAGGATGCACAAGGCCCTGGGGGCTATCCCTATAATCCCTACCCCTGCCAAAAAGACACCTGCACACTGATCTGGTATACTGTTCACAGAGTTTAACTATACACATAAAAAACCCACAATAAACACTTTGTTGAAAGAACACCATAGGATACATCTATATGCCACAGGCTGGAATATTTACATTTATGAAAGACGAAACAGTATACCTTCTTTCTAGAAGGCTGGAAAGGATATGTATGGTTAGATGCTCTATTTACAAGGCTATTTACAACAAGTAATTCCTAAAGGGCTACTCAAGCTAATACTTAGGTCAAGATGATTATTACAAGTATTTAAACCAGAAGAATGTGGTCCCATCAATTTGAATGTTTTCCATGAAAACATTCTATGTTATTTAACTAAAGTTATCTAATTTACAGTTTACAAAGCATTTACAGTTTGACACTTGGGTACGGCCCAGGCATCTGTGCCTTTCCTAATCTCGCAGTCTACAGCTTACAGTTGCTCACTAGGTAAAATATAAACTTTGTAACTTCTATTATACAATTATGTTAGCAGTAGAAACATCACTTCTAAAAACACAGGACGAAAATTTCTACATCAAAAAAGAAAAAATAATCTTACTACACTATTCCGAGGGAAAGGTAAGGGGACTCCCTATAGCAGCGTTTCACAACTGCAGCCATGAAACTCTCGTGTTCCATGACGTAACACACACACACACAAACCCTGAATTACCCTATAACCTACTAATATAGTTTACTAAAATAATCTACTAAAATAAAAATGATATATACAGGAAACCTAACATGCGAACATTCTCAGCACACAGTTGGCCTCTAACAAAGCACTCTTTAAGAGATCACCAGACACCCAAATGCAATCTGAAACCACCTTTAGCACTTACCAACCAGCCTTCACGCTATTACAGGTTGCTTACTTAATCATCAGTAGTGAGAGTTAAAGATTTTCTAATGTCAATTTAGTTTTAATATTAGCTTTTATTGCATAATCAACTAGTTAGTAAAATTTGTTAATTTCCAATGACAATAATTTGTGTTACTACAATTCTCCTACACCTTAAGGATGCAACCTTTTATTAGTGTTTTCTTTTCTGTTTTCTTAATACTTCTTCCTCCATGTTCAATGGTTATCCCAACTCTGTGAACTAGTCTATTGTGGATGAACATAATGAGCTCTACTTCTGACTCCCTTCAACGGTCATGCTATCTAGTTGTAGTTTGTCTTTCAAATGCGGAGAAAGTTTTGGTTTAGTATACAACAAGCAAAGGCGACACATTTGACAGTTAAAATCCACCCCACCCTAACCCACCCCCACTATGAGACAAGTTTTCATGTATATAGCCCAGGCTGGCCTCAACTTCACTATGGCACCTAGGCTAACTTTGAACTCCTGACCTTCTGCCTCTACCTCCCAAGTGCTGGTGTGGAGGTGTGCACAACCATGTCCAACTTTTCCTCATTTAGTCCATTATTATAAAGCAGCTTTTCTCAGATTACTTGTCGTCTAGATTTTTCTGTCAAGAACGATGATTCTATCTTTTGGCGAATAGATGGATCCTGACTGTAGCCTTACTTACACAAGATCACTACAGTTAACAAAATGAAGTTAAGATAAGCCATGGAAGGAGGTGGTTGCGAATACCTTAATGCCGGCACCAGGAGGTGGAGGCAAGTGGATCTCGAAGTTCCCGGCCAGCCCATTCTACATCCCGAGTCCCAGGCCTGCAGGACTCAGGGACAATCTATAGGGTTTAGTCTGAGAAAGCAAGTTCCAAGTGTTTTGTTTGCATAGTGTCAGGCTGTAGGCTGCTCTGAAGTCATTTCTAGAATAAGCTTCCACATCCTTGCTAGGATTAAGGCACTGTAACACATCCCAGCTAGACTGCATAAGGTTAGTAACAATCACACCAAACAAGAGCTAAAGTTTAGACAGTCCACTGGAAAGTGACAGTCCTTACTGTACCAGTTAGTTGGTCAGAAAGGCTCAAGTCAGGGGTGACACAGGGGAAGGCCCAGTCTACTCATGGCAGAGTGTTCAGCACAAACCAGGACAACTCTGGAAGTACAACTGTCATCAAGTCTTACTTAGTCAACCCAACTGCCCCAAGTGCCACCACTCCAGGCTGATGATGACTGCTCTTCAGGGTGTACCATTCTGCTAGTGTTTCATCAAAGACTTCAGTGAAAATTGTGACCAACCAGCTGAACTCAATTGTGAACTGCCATTCAGAATAAATTACACTCAAAGAATCTAAACGTGGAACTGGACTCAATCTTGTTGAACAGATAGATGGAATGCAAAACCTTTTACATCACTGCAACTCCTACACGGACATTCAAGATGAAAACATTAAGGTTTCCAATCAACTTCAAGCTCCATTTTCTTTTTAAGTATCTTTGCGTAGTGTTTAGTATCTCTCCAGACCCACTGCCGCTCAGCCCAGAAGAACTTTCTGCATCCTGTGTGCAGCAACACTGGCTTCATCTTCTGAGTCGGACTCACTCTGGGATGTGGAGCTGTGTGACGCAGAGCTACAGGGGGAAGAGCATTCTGGAGAACACAAGTAGTGCATCAGCGGGAGGCGGTACTTCCCACAGAAGTCCACAAACTTAATCTGTCTGACGCAGCAGTCAAAGTAGACACCTAGAAAGAAGAAGAAGATAAGGAGTCAGCAGAAGCAAAGCGCCACAGTTTTTCCTAACTAGAAACAAACCAGAAGAGAACAGACCAGCCCTTCCTAGCCTTCTGGAGAAGCTTGACCTCCCACTCCTTCTGCCTCCACGTCTCCCAAGCGTTTAGGATTAACACATGTGCATGCACCACTGGGAGAGCAAAACTGACGGAGACAAAATGTCATCTTACATTTATGCAGGCTCTAAATCTGGGATTAAGCTGATGATCTCAGTCAGCGCATACAAAATCAAATACACTTTGGTAGACTCACACTGGTAATTCCCTTCCTTGGTTCTTAATTCAGTGCTCCTGAACTATGCTCCTTCAGTGAAGCAGGGCTACAGCCAGAGCTGAGAGGAAAGCAAAGGTTACCGTCTCCAGACTCTAGCTGGTCCTTTAGCGATACCTTACACACCCCAGTCCATCCCTATGGCTGCCGTATAACCAACTATGAAGATCTGTGCCCACTGTCTCTATAAAGAGAAATCTCAAACTTCAGACCTAAGTTTCCCAATTACTCTCTATCACACAATGGACCAAAACAAAGTGATGTGGTCTAATGAAAGGAAAACTCCCCAGCGATAAGATCCCCTCGATAACCTTTTTACTTATCTATTGACTATTTAAAGGCAGGATCTTACTGTGTAGCCTTGGCTGGCCTGGAACTCTCTGTGTAGACCAGGATGGTCTCCAGCTCACAGAGCTCCACTTGCCTGTGCCTTCTGAGTACCGGATAAAGACATGTGCCACCAAGCCTGGATTTCCCCTAACCCTTTATGGTTTACTACTCTGAACAACTTAGAAAGTAGATGCATTCAATAGGCTTATAATAAATCCTCATAACTACGTTAACTTCCTGTAATACTAGTCATCTCTAAGCTCTCAAACTATACAAAGAGAAAATGTCTCATAAATGAGATGGTTTTTAACTTACATTTCAATAAGGAACCTGGGGTGGTGGTGGTAGGAAAGCATGTAAAATGATTGATTTTTATTTTATTGATTTATCCATGTTATCTGAAAATTTAAACTTGTAATTTTTAAGGCATTCCTAAGATAAACAGCTCTTTAGAATACTAAAGAAGTCCATACAAACCCAGTGAAGAGAAGAGAGTACTTTAGCGGCCCATTTCTAGAAGGACGGATTCTGGGCACACTGGATTTCACAGGAAGCAATGATATGACTGCTGCCTCTTACAAGTCTTCATACCCCAGTTTCAAGAGTCCCCTGCCACTGCCAAAGCCACTTCACGACAGAGGCCCACCAAGACAGCAACCCTTGCTTCTGAGCAGAGGTGGCCAAACCAGCTCAGAGAATGTTTTTCTTATTCTTTCATTTATTTATTTATTTTTATTTTTATTTGTTTTTCGAGACAAGGTTTCTCTGTGTAGTTTTGGAGCCTTTCCTGGAACTCACTCTGTAGACCAGGCTGGCCTCGAACTCACAGAGAACTGCCTGCCTCTGCCTCCTGAGTACCGGGATTAAAGGCGTGCACCACTACCGCCCGGCTGCTTTTCTTTTTAAATCCAGTCTTTTTCAATCTTGCAACAATCTTTGAGAAATGTAACTTTTGTTTTCCTCTTTTACCTATAAAATAATCTTAAGATGACACTTTCTGGGAAGTATCTTACCTAGCTTTGATAACATTATGCAACATTCTCTAGGTATTTACACTCATCCTCACACTAGTTCCTTTCTATACTCATTAAAAATGGACTTATTTAAAAGTAGTATTTGTCTCCAAATGTCCTAAATGCAAATCTTGAACCATGGATTTAAAGAATATCAAGTTCTTTTTTTTTTGGTTTTTCGAGACAGGGTTTCTCTGTGTAGTTTTGTGCCTTTCCTGGAACTCACTTTGTAGCCCAGGCTGGCCTCGAACTCACAGAGATCCTCCTGCCTCCACCTCCTGAGTGCTGAGATTAAAGGCGTGCGCCACCACCGCCCAGCAAACTCTTTTGTAAATCCAGAAACGGGCACACACTCAGTCTGCTCACACACATCTTTAAGCATACCCTAACTATATCTCATACAATGAATAGTGAACCTTCAAATAAACATGAAAGACGGCCAAACATTTCAAAACTCTTTGAAGAAATTAGAACCATTTATGCTCTTTATGTTTCCTTTTATTTTGCCATCTTGCTTCCAACAGAATGTTCTAAGACAGGATGAGATTTTCTGGGTATTTTCCTTGTATTTGAAGCCAACTTTAGTATGAAAATAATTTTTAAGGAAGGAGGCTCAGGGGTTAAAATGTCTTATTTCCAAGTAACTGCTTTTGTGTGAAAGAAGCTTTAGCTAATTTAAACAACCCAACATCAAAGTTTAAAAACAGCTAAATGAGGGAAGAGACCAACACGAGATTCACTTACCACCACACTTTGGGTTTGGGCAATTGCTGGCTGAACCCAAGTATCTAAGAAGATTCCCAGGAAGATCGTAGGGAGTGTAAGAAATACTTCGGATCTTAATGGTCCTTGCAGCTAATTCCAGAAGAGTTGGAGGGTCATATGTTAAATCTCTAACAAAGCGAACAACCAATGGATTTCCTCGCAAACTCAATTCTTCCAGATGAATGAGGTTGAGGATCTCTCGAGGCAGATATGTCAGCAAGTTATTGTGGAGGCTGAGGGAACGAAGTGAATGCAACCTGGATCCAACACAACACAGAAGCCGAAGGCAACCAGTAAGTAAAGCCGCTTAAGAAGTTATGTTCGGGCTGGAGAGATGGCTCAGCCGTTAAAGGCTAGGCTCACAACCAAAAATATAAGAAGTTATGTTCATATACACTTGTGTATGGAAACAAACGCAGCTATGTGTGCATACACAGGGTCTGAGCTTCCATATGAAGGAACAATTAGGACTGAGGTTAATGAAGGCAAAACTATCTAAACCAGCTCAGAATACAGTTTTGTAAATGCTATCACAGACTTTCCCTCTCTGGGATCTTAAGAGTACTTAAAACATTTACAAAGTATTCTGATGTCCTAGCTGAGATAAATGATCGATTTAAAGACACTTGAGGGCATATTTTATCACTTACAAACCTAAAAAAGATTTTACAGGTAAAAGAGGAAAACAAAAGACTATGCTTAACATCAAATACACATTGCCAAATTCCATTGCTTTTCCAAGGAAAAGCTATGCCAAATTACTACTCTCTTTTTAAAAAAAAAAACAAGAAAGCTGAGGGGCTGGGTCAGTCAGTAAAGCCTCTGCCTTGAGTAAGGACCTGAGTTCAATGCCCAGCATCAATGTGAAAACACCAGCAAAAACTGTCAGGTGTGGTGCATACTTGTATCCCAGAGGTAGGTTCCTGGGGGCCTTCTGGCCAACAAGTCTCGCCTAACTGGTGAACTCCAGGCCACTAACAGACCCCCACCTCGAAGGAAACGAATGGCATCCAGGTCATTCTCTGGTCTCTACACAAGTATGCATACCTGTACCTACACACACACACACACACACACACACACACACACACACACACACACACACACACACACCAAGCTGAGCAAATACACTTAAAATAAACCAGAACACTTAAAAGTAAAATTAAAAATTACTCAGCTCCACAGTCTTGATCATGACTGCTAACCACAGAAGCCTGCGTCTATAAGCCGAGACTACTTACTGTGAAAGCTGAGGAGGCACACTTTGGATTTTGTTGTCACATAACACCAAGTAATTCAGAGAAGGTAGATTTGCTAATTCTGGTGGGATTTCTTTAATGAAGTTTCCTCCAAGGTATAAACATTCTAAACTGCAAAAGCAAATTTTTAAAAAGTAAATAAATACAAGTTGGTCAAGATACTTCACTGTCTCTACTAAAATGGACACATTTCATCTACTCATTCACCAAATGTCTTACTCAGGATTGCTATAAGCTAGCCAGTGGTTCTCAACCTTCCTAATGCTGCGGCCCCTTAAGACAGTACCTTATGTTTTGGTGACCCCCAACCATAAATTATTTTCATTGATAAGTCATTATTGTAATTTTGCTATTATCAATCGTAATGTAAATATCTGATATGCAATTGGTCTTACACTACCTCTGTGAAAGGGTCATTTGATTAAAGGGGTAGCAACCCACAGGTTGAGAAATACTATGCTAGGCAGTCTCCAGAAAGAGACTGCAATCCCCAGGGAGCTTATACCTAATCTTGCCAGACAAGACACTGTATGATTAAACTAGCAAAGCAAGAGGCACTGACTGACAAAGACTAGGAAGGGTCGCAGCAGTTCTCGTTGGAAAAGCTTCCCCAGAGTATTGCGAATCCAGCAGAGCTATGAACTTAGCCCTTAGACAGAGAAAAAAAGAGAACATTTCCAGGTAGAGGAGGGGCTTTAAAGACTCAACAGGTACACCTGTTAATAAAAGAGACTTTTTCCTGACGAACCCAGACAAGGCTGGAGACGCCAGATTCAGGCAGCCTGAGATTCCGTGCTGACATGTTTGTGTTTCATGTAAGCACTAATAGGCAACGGGAAAACCAATCGTCCTGCCCACCCCCCAAAAAGGGCAGAAAACCATATACGAACTTTCTATGTTTTTTTCTTTGCTCTTAATAAAACAAGTACATTCTTCAGAGGCAATCCGAGAAAATTATGTAAAACCAACCATTAGCATGAAGTTAAACGTTCTAGGTGACCCTGTTTACTTAAAAAAATAGCCTCTTAGATGTAATACCATTCTCTGGTGACTACAGAAAGGCTCCAATGGGTTTTTGCAGGGAGGAGGTAGTCAGCGCTTACAATAGTCATAAAAATAAACAGAATGCACACACACAATGTATCTGGAACTTTCCCACTACTACTATTGGTTTTGCTATTCTGCTCAGAACTATCATTCTTTCAAAGACTTTCAAATAAAACAAGTAAATAACAAAACAACAGCTCTAAAGCGGCTACCACACTGTTATCCAAACTAGGAATTATCTGGAGGGCATTTCATTTTTTGCATGTATGTGTGTGCAAATATGCATGTGTGTGGAGAAGCCAGAGTGGACTGAGTCTTCCTCCACTGAGCCCAGAGCACGCAGATCCGCCTGCTCATCAGTCGTCTTTGGCGATCCCATCTCCACCTCAAACCAGACCCCCTTGCCACACTTTGATTTTCTGAAAATGATTTGATGGTGTGAAAAAGGTACTATTCTGCACTTTCTACCCACAGAGCTGCAGTTTTATAATTAGTGAAGTTTAGTATGTCTTTCTGCGTTTCTGGTCATTCACATATCCTCAGAGCAGCTCCTGTTTGTACCATTTGCCCATTTTCTGACGGGTTAGACAATTTCCACAACTTTGTGGTCTTAACAGCTTGGCTGTTAAGTATGTGTTCTGCATAGCTTTGCTCCTCTGTGACCTCCTTTTGCTTGTTTTACATGTATTACAAGAATTCACGCTGACTTTGTAGAGGAGCAATTCACAGCGTAAGTTCTGTCCTCTGCCTTCTTACTGGATGCTAGTCTCCCACAGAACCATGGCCATGTTCCCTTCAGGTCTGTCACTTCTGCTCCCAATACACAAAAGCTACCCGGCACAAACACCCAGGATTCTGACTCCTCAAACCTCCTGTTAAAGTGTTACTTAATTCATACGAAGCATTTCTCTGTTCCTTTAAATCCATCTTGCTTTGAAATCCACTCCCCGATTATCAATACTGCTTCCAGCTTTTGTTGTAGCTGTTAGCGTTTATTTCATTCAATTCTACCACTTCTTGGCATAAAAATCAGGGCCAGTTACTGGATGCTTATTAAAGATGGCATAGAATTATAGAGCACATAAAATACCCAGTCAACAAATATGAACACCTACCACGTGCCAGGCACTATTTCAGGGACTACACTGTCAATCGGTTGAGTTTTGGATGAGGCAAGTCTCTTAGGGCAGATAATACTCCAAGGAAAAATGGAGTCAATCAGGTCATAATGGGAGACGACTATATGGGTGGCCAGGAAAGCTTTCCCTTAAGAGATTCTGAAGTGTGAGCAGACGTGAGTGAGCTGCTATGAGCCCCGGATGGAAGGTGGTCAATGCAAGGCGAAGCTGTGGCACAGCTGGTGTGGGCAGACCAGACTGAGGTGGAAATGAGGTGCTCAGAGCTTGGTAGTCAACAGGTAATCTGGGAAGGTCGGATCACAAAGCCTCACAAGGACTCTGGATTTTATCCTAGGTATGGTGGGTGGGTTTTAATATTTATGTGTTTATTTATGTAATTCTCAGAGAAGTCAGAAGTCACTGGATCCCCTGGAGCTGGAGTTACAGGCAGTTCTGAGCCACATGACCTGGGTGATGAGAATCTAACTCCAACCTTTCCAAGACACTCTAAATGGAGCCATCTCTCCAGTCTGGTGGATGGGTTTTACATGAAAGCTAGTTGTATCATCTCACTTAATTTAGAAGAATCACAATTAGCTGGATGAGTGTGTATGACTGGAACCCAGTGTAATTCAGTTGAGAAATAATACTACCACCGGAATATCTTTTCACTTTTAACTTACTAGTGTTTTTAAGTCCTCTCATGTACAAACAGGGAACAACTTGATTGCTGCTATGTTAGGGTGTAGGTTCTACAATGGTCTATCTCAGGATACTGTCTCCCTTCTTCAGTCCTGCCTTTTCTCACTGGCAGTTTTTCTTTCTTTCATTCATTTCCCCTACTGTTCTGAGCATATATGCTACTTCTATTTGCTGGCAGACATCCTCCAATCTCCTTCCACATCTGGCCTCAGTACCTCTCAGTCACTATGACTGCTGTTCCTTGGTGGCTGACCTGTTTCCTTCTCTCTAGCAGTCCTATGGTCATCTGTAGTGGCTCCTACTACGTGTTCACACTGTGAATGCTTGGTTCCCAGCTGGTGCTGCAATTCTAGCGGTTCTGGAAACTTTGGGAGCCAGGTAGGGCCTAGCTGATGGAAGTGGGTCACTAGTGGCAGACCTCCGAAGGCTAGACTCCTCCCCTGGTTCTTGCCATTTACCATGTAATAGCCAACCTCTGCCACACATTCCACTGTGAACTGAGCTGACACTATCTGCAACTGTGAGTCAGTTCTTTATCAAGCTGCTTGTGTCAGGAATTTTGTTCCAGTGAAGCAAAAACCATCATCAAGGCAGCTACTAAGTAATTACCAGGCAGGAAGGCATACAGAGTGGGTAAGGTAGATAAGGTGGACCAGGCTGCAGAGAGCAAGGCGGGAATCAGGGACTGGGTATTACCTTCAAAGGCCCATTCAGGTTTTGGATGGGGCAATTTGAGATTTCATCATGATACTCAGAATGAGCTGCAACTTAAAAATTATGAAATGTTTATTTCTAGAATTCTGCATGTAATATTTCTGGGCCACAGTTGATTGTAACTGGAAGCCAGTAAAGAAAATCATGAATAGATTTGGGAGGCTACTGTATACTATTCCCAAGAATTTTAATTGTGTTTTTCATAAATGTCCATTTCAAAACTCCCCTTAACGGTTCCACTGAAAAGTTTCTTCCATTCCTTCTCTGAGTTAGGAAACACTTCAAGTCCTTTACTGGTAGCCATCCATCAGATATTTTCTGAGGTATAATCGCTCCCATCTATTAAATTCCATCTGCTTTTTATAGCTCGCCTTCATTTGCTATGTGATGATTCTAACAGTTAACCTGAATCCAAAGTTGTCTTTTAACTGTATCAATGGTATACTCTTCCCTATTCTGATTATTTAAAGCTTTTCAAGCTTGCATTTCTCTCTAGACATATTGTAATGCTTGGAAAAGTCAAGCAGATAGGTATTCTGTAGTGTTTACAGTTTTCCTTCCTAAGATTGCTCTGTAGAGAAAATTCTACAACAACCCAACCACCTAAACAAAGAACCACTTTGGTGCGAAGGCTCAACTTTTCTAGCAGTAAATGTCTAAGTATTGATGAAGGACAAAGTCCTAGGCAGGGGCTTTGAGTCTACCAAGTATGGCTTAAGTGAATGCTCCGATTCTCAGAAAACCCGACTTTTCAATGGCAGAGCTACTGGAAAAGAACAGAGTACTGAGCAGAGCACAGAGGCGCACGCCTTTAATCCAGCATACCGGGGCAGCAGCAGGCAGACCTCTGTGAGTCCCAGGTAGCCAGGGCTACATAGTGAGACTATGTCTCAAAACAAAACACAACAACAAAACAGTGTTCGGAGTTCAGACAACAAAACTATCCTAGAAGAGTAATTATTTTAACAAGAACACTTGGGGAGAAAAGTTTACCAAACTTGCAAGTTTTTAATACAGGATTCAACAGTGAAATGGCAACATGCTCCAGGGCAAGGGTAAATATGTCCTATTTATTTAGGGCAGTGTTAGGAACTGAATGTTGTCTTCTCAGGTTTGAAACCCTAATCCTTAAGTGGTGTCATTAGGAGGTGGCTGTCTCTGGCGATTACATGTAGGCTGGGGACTGATGCACACAGAATAGATGCCATCCACCAGCGGCTACTATGACTTTGCCAGAGAAGGATCTGAAATTCATAACCAGGCCCATGATTCTGAAATGATGTACTCATCAATTCTCTTTTGCAACTCAGATATCACTAATCAGGTCACGATCAGAATACAAAACTTACACTGTCAGAATTATTTCTCACTTTCAAACTCATATAATCTCCAAAGTTTCAATCTTTCAATGGTTTATGAGAATTAAGCTTCTAAGGAAACAACTGTTCCAAACATGCTTTTCTGTAGTTAGAAAGGCAACTGCTGAATTTAAAGCCAATTGTAGTGTTTAAAAGTTCTTGGGGGCTGAAG